GATGCCAGGCCCTCACAGGGCAGAGGTACACCCTATATGGGCACGATGCCAGGCCCTCACAGGGCAGAGGTATACCCTATATGGGCAGGATGCCAGGCCCTCACAGGGCACATACACAGGCACACTCTCAAATTCTCCATTTCCCTGTAAGCAGCCTGTCCATCATTTGCAGTCATTCCCAAAGCCTGACCTGTCCTTTGCTGTTTCTGTGTGTTGTCCAGCAGAGTGCGCCACTGAGCACAGCTGAAGCAGAAGAGCCAGGCACGTTCACTGGAATAACCACCCGGAGACAGCGGCGGCGGCTCAGGAAGCTATAGGAGAGCAGCACCCGGGGAGGGGAGGCGATGCAGTGCTGGTCTTAATGCTCAGGACGTGGGTGATGTGATGGCCCCCTTCTGCCTTGCAGTGACAAGGGTGACACCCTGGAACAACTGCAGTATTATGAGCCTTCATCATCCAATCACTTAGTATTAATGGTCTAGTTAAAAATACATCTGTCTTTGTACAGAGCTTGTTAAATTAGCATCAAGGTGCCTTTCCGGGACTGGTATCTATTCATGTCAGGTGATTCTGGTTACGTTTATTTTTTCCAGTGGAACCTAACTTGTGTTTTGGGAACCATTGTGATTTCAAGACTGAGTTATTTAAATGTTTTATTGTATTATGCAATCTTCTACAGCTTTCACTGTGTTTTCTCGTTCTGTTGATCTGTTACAATGGTAGTTGGTTGAATTGTTTAAATTGAATTAAAACATTTTTACTTGGAAATATTTATTGATTATTAAATATGATGAAACCCTGTTCTGCATACGTGGTTATAGAAGACGGATGATTTAAAATTGGGTGTGAGGTCAGTTCCTTATTTCTTTGGTGTTGGGGAGTATAGAGAGGTCTGCCCCCCGCCCCCCAATCAGGTGCACTCTGTGATTCTCGTCACTCCCTCCATTCGTAAAATCAGTGGGTGCGAAGTGAAACCGGGTCTCCGCTCATTGCCACATCGCCCAGGCCAAATGTGAGGAACTTCCTGTAATCTTTATGGTAATTGCCAGCAGCTGCTCCTCTTCCTCTATTTGCCTTTGAGAAAGTGGAGCGTAGGGCACTCTGCCCGCAGTTCTGGCCAGAGTGTCACTCTGGCGGAGTCCCTCAGCCAGCTGTGCGCCCCCCGTACAAGTTTTTCCCTCATAGGGGACCTGTGGGCCACTCCCACGGGGCCAGAGGAAGGTGCTTCCCACAGCCTATAGCAAGTAAGTTGGACCTGCTTTTTCTCTGCTTTGATTCTTTTTCTGCTTTGTGACTTGGAGGGAGAGGAGTGACTCACTGGTCTGATCCACCCCGCAGAATCAGTAAGACTGTGTTTGCTGTAACAGGAATCAAACTGAAAAGATTACAGATGAAAAGATTACAGATGAAGATTACAGATAGTATAGAGCAGTGTTTCCCAACCTAGTCCTGGGGGAACACCAGACAGTCCACGTTTTTGCTCCCTTCCAGCCCCCAGCCAGTCAGGAACATCGAATGCCTGGTACAGGTGCGCTTGGAGCTGAGAGGAAGCAAAAATGTGGACTGGCCGGAGTCCCCCAAGGACTGGGTTGGGAAACACTGGTGTAGAGGACTCCCTGTGCTGAAGGCTGTCGCTCCCCCCCCCTCCATCTGTAAGGGCTGCTTGTCTACTCATTGACCTTAACGAGGTTATAATGTGGCTGATTTAAAGTGGAAGGGACCTTTTTAAATATTAGTTTTAGGATGTGTCTACAGTAGTCTTTCTAATAGAAATGATTTTAATGTTGTCTGTTGCCACTCAAAACAGCTGCGCGTTATGCTGTAATAGAAGTGGTCAGTGTGACTTACTGCCCTGACTGGCTGTGACACTTCCTGTCTCAGGATGTGCTCTGTTTCAGCCAGGAGTTAAGATATGATGCAATATGATTCCTAAAGCATATCTGCGCCTGTGATTGGCTTGAAGCGGCCAGTAGTCCTCCCCCGACAGGTTTCAGACCCTTCTCTGCATATCACCATTGGCGTCACATCTGAGTCTTTAAAAGGGTTGAAGAATCTATTTTTTGTTCAGAAACTCACGAACATGGTCTGGCTAGATCAGTCTTTCTTAAGTCAGTCCTCAAGGACCCCCCACACACACAACTATACCAGATATTCAGTGTTCTTGGTTGTCTTGTTTGTTTGGTTCAGACTGACAGGGAGTAGGGAGGGAACAAAAATATGGGTTGAGAATTACTAGGCTAGATTTCCTTAATTAGGGGTTTTCAGATTGAGTCAAATTCATTTATTCATTTGACTAGATGCAAACGTTTGACTGCCAGATGTTTCTCCAGGGACTGTCACAAAGGATACTTTCAGGAAGTCCAACCTTTGTTCCTGCATCCTCAAAAGCAGAGCTTCACATTTATTTAATTTTGTATATTATATTATATTCCATGTTCAGTTTTCCGACTGCAATATCTCTCTAACAAAAGCAAGCCAGCATTTCCTTTTGATGTCCACAGGCAGCCATGCACACGATCATTCATGCGGTTCGAGCCCTTTCCCCATCTATGCCTAGTCGTGTTATAGCGGCTACGAAAATAGGAGATTTCAGCTGTATTGAGATAAGCTACTGGTTCAGCTTTTTTGACCTGCTGGTGACTCCTGCACAGTCCTAGGACTTCCAGGTCATGCTCATTAGCAGACGCTAGTGCCCTGAGTGTCCATTAACAGCACATATTGTAGGATACTGCCTGGGCGGAGACTTCCACTGAGGATGTCCATCACGGAGGACGAGGAGTGCTGGGTGCAGCTGGAGGACTACAGGATGCTGCTCATTAAGAGCATCGAGCCATCTCGCATCACACCCTACCTGCGCCAGTGCAAGGTCCTCAGCAGCGAGGACGAGGAGCAGATCTTCAACGACCCCAGTCTGGTCATCCGGCGCCGGAAAGTGGGTAAGGCAGCCCGCGGGGTGTCCACAAGGCGGATTTTCGTCTTACGGGATGGTTTGGGACAACTCATTTAGACGTGCTACCTGATTGGCCTGAGCATGTTCACCTGCCAATCAGAGAGCTGCTCTCATGAATATTAATGAGCTCTCCCAACACCACCCTGTAAAACTGAGGACGCCGACCCAGCCAATATCTCAGGGTCACATCAGAGTCATGTGCACTTCCTGTCAGGCGTGCTGCTGGACATCCTGCAGAGGACCGGACACAAGGGTTATGTGGCGTTCCTGGAAAGCCTGGAGCTGGATTATCCTCAGCTGTACCGCAAGATCACAGGGAAGGAACCAGCTCGTGTCTTTTCCATACTAGTAGGTGAGTCTTGCACCCCGGAGCATCCGGCCCGCTCCACTGGTACACCGTCTCTTCCCAGCACAGACATCCCCCGCCCTCACCCCTCCTGTCCCATTCAGACACGGCAGGGGAGTCGGGGCTGACCCAGTTCCTGATGACCGAAATGACTCGCCTACAGAAGGCCCTGCAGGAGGAGCGTCTGCGCAGACAGGAGGTGTCTGCACGCATGGCTGCGCAGCAGGACACGATCCGGCGGCAGCAGGTGCGGGAGAGCGAGCTGCGGAAACAGCAGGAGCGCGTGTGCCGCATGCGGAAGGAGAGGGACAAGCTGGTGGAGGAGGCCAGGCAGCTGAAGGACGAGAACTACAGCCTGCTCCGTGATGTCACCAGGCTGACGGAGGAGAAGAGCAAAGCGCTCATGGACGCCCGCGACTTGCAGATGGAGGTCAGTGACTCTGCCTCAGACTGCCACCCCCAGATAACTTCAGTCAGAGCTGATGACAAGTTTTTACGGGATGGATGCAAGATGGAGAGACATAGGCTTCTACTTTTCTTACTCCAGTGGTGCAGTGAATGTGTGATTCCATCCTCCTTAGATCGAGAGGCTGAAACACAGTCTGATGAACGCAGAGAGCGACTCGAAGATTCAGCGTAAGCGGACTGTGACCCTGAAGCACGCTATGGAGATGCGGCCCAGCCAGGACGCAGTGTGGCACATGCAGAGGGAGAATGACCTTCTTAAAGCCCAAGTTGAGGAACTAGAGAATTGTATCCAGGTGGACCTTCTCCTCCTCTTTTAATGGCTCTGGTTTGTATCCTGAGGGTGCAGGCCACTGTTTGGGTAACTTTCAGGAATGGTCCTCTGTTGTCTCATAGACAGCATCAGGTTCAGCACAAGCAGAAGAGGCCAAGCTGAAAAACCAGTGTATGGAGTTCTGTAAGCAGAGGCAAGCACAGCACCAGGAGCTGGTCAACAGTCTCTACGGCTTGCGGAGGGAACTGCGCAGCGCAGAGGAGCTCCGGGACAAGGTAACACAGCCTTTTGGTGGGTCCTGAGGGACACACCCACCAGTGTGACAGAGGGACTGGGGACCTGAGGGACACACCCACCAGTGTGACAGAGGGACTGGGGACCTGAGGGACACACCCACCAGTGTGACAGAGGGACTGGGGACCT